TGATCCCAGGGTCCTGGGATCGAGCCCCGCATCAGGCTTTCTGCTCAGCGGAAAGCCTGCTTCTCCCTCTCCCATTCCCCCTGCTTGTGTTCCCTCTCTTGCTGTGTCTCTCTCTGTCAAATAAATAAATAAAATCTTTAAAAATATATATATATAATTATCCTAATAAAAATAAATTAACTACACATGTACTAATGTTAAAAATGCCAGTGCCCTTATCAAGAATTAAGCAGGAGGGAAGTCACAAAGAATATATTCATGCAACAAGCCATTTCTGATTGCTTAGTATGTACAAGGTACAATGGGAGGGGTAAACGTCTTTTAAAAGAAGGGGGACACCTCAGTGGCTCCAGCGCCTGTTGGAGGTTCTACTGGGCTGGCGGCCCCTCCCTCGGCCACAGTCCCCTTTGCAGGTGTTCCAGGGGACAGCTTGCTCTATGTTATTTCTCTAGGCCACCTTTCCCTTTGTTCTTGCCTTCCAAATTTGATCACATAGCTTTTTCCACCGGAGATGCCCCTCCTGTTTTCCGCATTGTTGTAAGTTACTAAGATCTGAAGTTTCCTTGAAATTTAATGCGGCATCTGGAAGTAAAGGGAAAATAAATGCATGTTTGTCTGGGTAGCAGTGGACCTCGGGAGGGCCCCCCAACATCACAGCTCTGACTCAGGATGTAAGAGCAAGCGGGAGGAAGGAAGTCTCCCAGAGAGAGGGGTAAAAAGTGCATCTACACACAGCTAAGAGTGTGGGAAGCCAGAGTACAGACTAAAGGTACTAAATGCAAGGAACAAATGACAAAAATTCAAAACTGCTCAACAGAGAAACTTCTTATGGAGGCAGCATCTTATAGTGCTTAGGAACAAAGACTCTGAAGCCAAAGGTGTGGGTTCAAATCCTAACCTTGGCCCTTACAGGCTGCGTGACCTTGGGCAACTGGCTCAACCTCTCAGCCTCAACATCTCTCAGACAGAGCCAGTAATAGGACCAACTTATAGAGCTGCTGAGAGGAGTTAAATGAGTGAATATGTATAACATTTTTAGACAAGAACCTGTCACATAAGGACCATATAAAGGTTTGTTAAATACATAGGAAAACCAACGACCTATATGAAAATCATGGTCATCCAATTAGAAAAGACAGATCCCAATTAAAGCAAGTTCCTGTTTTAAAATATGTTTAAAACTGTTTAAGATATGTTTAAAATGGTTTGAAATATTTAAAATAAAATTATATAAATTTAAAATTTAAATACATTTTAAGTACATATTAAATGTACTTTTTAAAGCTTATATTAAATATATTTTTAAGCAAGTAAGGGCTTAAAGATAAGGAATGTGAAGGTTTCCAAGTGGCAGACTAAGGGAAAAGCTTAAGGACAGTGGGGGTGGGGGGGCAGGGGGCAGAGAATGGGAAGCTTATGTTTCTCCCCCTAATGAGGAAAATACCCCCAGGAAAAACACACCTCTCCCAGGAAGAACACAGTGGGGGGAAAAAACTCCATATATAAGAAAGGCAGTGTCTGAATACAGAACAAACTAAAACAGGGTGAGATTATGCATAAGAAAGGAGAATGCATTCGTCCCTGGTGTTCTGTGAGAATCAGCTACCTTCTCCTCCAGCGGAGCGGAAGCCCCAGGATGATGTGAAGAGGGGACAGGGAAGACAGACCAGAGGTACGGCTGGTATTGCCTAGCTGACTTTCTAGAAACCAGGCACATGGAGCGCTTTGATGAAATGTTTCAAAAATAAATTTAAATCTAGACAGAATCACTTCCCACCCACCTACCCACCCCCCATGCCAAAACATGCTCCCTCCGAGAAGACTACATTTTAAACCCAGTCCTTTTTCAACTTAAAGGCAGCAAGGAAGACAAACTTTTCAAACCTAAAGCAACAAGTTTCAAGGAACTAGAGCAGGATAACCCAGAATTCTGAGAATTGCCGCTCTTACAAGAAATGTTGCAATCCAACCACAGGCCGGCCAAGAAAGAGGTGTTTTCTCTTTCTCAGCAGAGTACATGCTGCTCATTATGAACACAACAGGAAAGATGAGGGAGGCTTCACATAACAAACTGCCCCACACATTCTTTCCCCTTCGCTGAGCAATATGGGCTAAGCAGTTTGGGTGAACGTTTCATTGCTTGAATATCCCTCCAGTTCAAGGCTGTCTGTCTTGAATGAATCTGTGTGTGTGTGTGTGTGTGTGTGTGTGTGTGTGTGTGTGTGTACACGTGGGGATGGAGGTGGGAGGCGTGTTGGTGCATGTGTATTTCTTGGGGTTTCTGCTTCCCAGAGCTACTTCATCCAAACAGAGAGCTAGACCTCGTGGAGACATCCTGAGGTCCGTGAAGAATCAGTCACTGACTTCTCTGTACTAATGAACCACATGTAACCCCATGATGGCACATGTCACAGAGCATTGTCACTGTGCCATTTTGTATTCTGCCACCTCTTCTAATGGCTGGTGAGCCCTTGAACCAAAAGCCTAACCATGACACGCTCATCACTGACTCCCGGGTACCCAGCCCATCTGCACAGCAAGTAGGACAGAGCCAGAGCTGGAAAGACAGGACAGACGCGGACAGCCTCCCCTTGGAGACGGCAGCCACACACAGTTCAGCATTTCCAGTCCACTCCTTGCCCCCAGCTCCGGACCTTACATCCAACTACCTGCTGGACACCTCCAGACGGTCCACAAACATTTCACACTCAACGAGGCCAACAGTGAACTCCTAACTGGTCTCCCTGCCTCCAAGCCCACCCCATGACCGGCCTCTAACAGGGCTGCCGATCTGGGGGGGCATTGCCTGCTTTAGGACCTTCCATGCCACCCGCCCCCATTACCATTACCTCTAGGGTAAAGTCCAAGGTCATCAGGAAGGCAGACGCGGCCCCCCCATCCCCTCCATCGGCACCCCTGCTTCTTGCTCTCCTCCACTTTCATCTCCCACTGCTCACCTGGTCCTACCACAGGCCCCAGGTGCCCAGACTCAGCGTGCTGTATCTCACCTCCACGCCTGGCTAACGTACGGCTCTTTCAAGACTCTGCGTAAGACTTGCTTTGTCCTGGAAGGCTTCCTTCTGAATTGCTTCTAAACTCTCCACCCACCCGAGCTGAGTTCCAAACCCCTCTTCTCTTCTGCACGGTGCCTTGTGTTAAACAGCAAGCACATTATGTTTATGATTGAATGAACTCCCCACGTGCACACGTTGAACCTCAGAGAAGCAAGCAAACGTGCTCGATGACACACATACTCTTAAGTGGCTGGGCTTAGGGTCCAAGGGCAGGACGTACCCTCCTAATCCAGCTCCCCTGCCTTAGACGGTCCAGACTTTCTGTCACTCCAGCCTCGAGACAGAAACTTCCTACTTTGCATCTCCTGTCCACTGCTTCTGATCTTGTTTCTAGATGAGCCGTGTGGAGGGCAGTGCAGGGCCTGTGGGAGAACCCCGGTGGATTGCCTCTTCTTGCCTCCCTCTCTTGTATACCATTGCTGCCGCACTGTGCATGGCCAGACGTTGGGGCTGGAAACCTGGTGGCCATGGGTTCCTGCCCCCGGGCTACGGAATGGGAACTTGACCCCGGGAAGCAGCCTCAGACTGCCTCGTGACTGCCGGCCTGCAAGGCCACCAACAAGAGAAGAGGCTCACTTACCGGGACTTCCTGCCTCCACTCTCCTCCGTAGAGGACGGCTCCCATCACTCGGGGCTCAACTGCCACTAACTGCCCGTTGGTCAGGATTCCTGGCCTGTGATTGGGCCCTGTCCATGCCAATCCCCTCGGGAACAGACCTGCTCCTCACCGAGTCCCTGGGGCAAGGCCTCCCTCAGCTGCCTTCTCCATTCATTCAACCCGAGCCTGTGCGTTCAACTCCCGGGAGAACCTCTCCCTCTGGCCCGCACCACACTGGGCCTCCTGAGTCCCCATTCTGGTCCACATTTTGTGCCTGGGTCCCTCTCCAGACTGGGAGCTCCTTGAGAGCAGAGACTACAGGCTACCCCTGTTCTGCATCCCCAAGGCTTAGGACAGGCCACCCAGGGACAAATGAGTGTTCAGGCTTTATCTCTTCTTCCCTGGATCATTCCAAAAGCCTTTTCTTAAGCCTCGCCACCCCCTAACTTATCCCCTCAAGTCTATCCACCACAGGAAAAGAGTTCAGGTTTAAGACCCACAGGGGTATACAGCAGGTCGTAAGATGTTGCTGAAGCTTACCGTACAGTTCTGGGGCAAGGTGAGGGCACTATGAGACAGTAACTAGAGATGAAGTGTGGGCCCACTGCCTGAGTGCTACAGCAGAAATCCCCTCCCCAGGCACAGAGGCTCCGCGAGCCAGATCCAGGACGAGTCCAGAAGCCAGAATGGGCAAGGGGGGCGGAGGATGGGGCTGGCCCTCAGACTGCGGGACGTGCAGTCTCGGGAGATGCCAAAGGAAGCGTCCCTGGCCTGCAAAGTACCAAATACGGTCACAGGGACAAGCTGCAGGGCCTGGCCTAAGGCTTGGGGACCACAGGGGGCAGTGGAACTGACGCAGGAGGACAAAGGAACCAAAGGGCGCAGGAGGAGGAAGCAGAATCTGCAGAGGTCCTTGAGGGGCCTGGGGGCTTTGGTTAGATCCATGTGACCACACACACTATATGGACCATCCGCCAGAGGCAACCAGCAAACGGCTCGGGTACCGATATGAATCTTTTCCCATGGGCATTAGGCAGCCATGGAAGGCTTTTTAAATCAGGGAGGCAGCAAAATCATTTCTGTGCTCCAGGGGAGGATGGATCCAGGGAGAAGAGGTTAGAAACTAGCCAAAATGTTCTTAGCTCCATCGCAGGCCTCTCGAGCCCTCAGAAAGAGCTGCGGGCCAACTCTGCCAGCATTGGGGGAGTGGCGGAGACCTGGTTTGGAGACTGTGTGGATCCACAGCAGAACGTGACGGTTTGTCAGAGCACTTGCTCTCACCTCGGAATGGAAAGGTAAAATGGCACATTCACAGCAACATCACTCACATTAATGTTCGAAGGCCACACATTTCTAATCCAGCCAGGGTCTCTCATCATTGGAATCTGAAAAAGAAACACACGAGAAATTAACAGATAGAAATGTTCTGGAAATAGACAGTGGTCATGATTGCACAACCTTGTGAAGATACTAAGCCCCACTGCACCGTACCCTCGAACACGGCGAATTTTATGGTATGTATTTATATCTCAAAGAAAAGAAATTAAATAAGAGGAGGACGTGCTGAGTTTTCTCGGAGCGTGTTTACAGAGAGCGTGAGGTCTGGGTTACCCGGGACACATTATGAGGTCGTAAATCTCCCCCCACCCCTGCCCTGTCTCCACTTCTTTTCTTCCCAAAGTGCATGCGGGGCAACGTGGAGAAACCATGGGATTTGGAGTCAGAAGTCATGCCTTCCAGGGCTGCCTCCATAGTGTCTTACTGTGACTGCACAAGTCTTGTTTTTCTAGCTGTAAAATGGGTATAACAGTAACCCCAGAGCTGACAGGTGCATTGTGAGCACTGATGAAGTCCACTTGGGAGGAAGGGTAAAGCCTAGCACGTGGACGAGCTGGTCAGACTGCCGGTGTGGCCCCACCCAAGCCAGGGGGGCCTGCGCCATCCGCTTTTCCTACAGGTGCCGCAGGTAGAGCCTCCAAAATCCCGCTCCCACGCTGGTGTAGCCCGGCCTAAGGGACATACTGAGGTTTTTTTTGTATGATTTTTTTTTTAAAGATTTTATTTATTCATTTGAGACACAAAGATACAGAGAGAGAGAGAGAGAGAGAGAGCATGAGCAGGGGGAGAGGGAGAAGCAGGCCTTCCGCCGAGCCCGGAGCCTGATGTGGGGCTCCATCCCAGGACCCTGGGATCATGACCTGAGCAGAAGGCAGGCACTTAACCGACTGAGCCACCCAGGTGCCCCCAACAGGCTGAGTTTTTATAGGCCTCAAATCCTACCTAAGTCATACTCAAAAATATTTATGCTCTGAGTTCAACTACGGCAGCCCAGAATCAGCAACCTTTGAAGCCCCTTATGCCTGTTTCCCTTGTCCTGTCACCCCCTCACCTGTCACTGTGCCTGCTACGCATCGGTTGCGTGTAGCTCTTCCAGCCCATGTTGTTGATTGGCTGATGTGTTACTTAAATCGTTATTTGTTGAGTTTCTCTCAGGGGTCAGGTACTTAGATGGGTAGAAGGAATGCACAGATGGGTGAAATGTAAATCCTGCCCTTGAGTCACAATCGAGCCAGAGTTGGGCAGGAAGACAGGTAGACAAGTGTGTCATTTCCAGGGTGACCACTGGGACATGCCCAGGGCCCCCTGGGAGCACGGGAGGGAGCCAACTGTTTTTCCGGCAGGGAGTACAAGGAATTCTGTGCCATCCACAGAAGGTGACGTCTGAGCTGCTTCTGAAGGACAAGTGGGGCTCTCAGAGAAGAGAGGAGGGAGAAAGGCCTTTCCAAACAGAGTGGAGATCGTGCTCGAAGAAACAAAGGTATCCCATGTGTATTTGGAGAACAGCACAGAGGGCCCCATGCCCGGGGAACAGTGGGAGGGAGTTTTGGTGGGGCCATGGTCAGGAGATGTGGGTAAAGTAGGGCCATTCTCTTTTTCAGAACAATGCCCTCCTCAAACAAGATCTTTTAGGAGGCCCTATGTAAACAGACAGAAGGGAACTGCCACAGTGTTGGCTGTTCCTGGTGTTGGTTGCAGAACCCGGAGGTTCCAGAGAACCCAGTTTGGGAACTGACACTGGGCACAGTGGGAGGTGCAGCAGGGTGGGATGAGCAGACCTGTGTTTTACAGGATCATTCCGACGTCTCGTATTGAAAGCAGAGTGAATTTAAAGGCTATTCTAGCAAAGGATGGCCAGGAGGCGAGCCAAGTTGGGAAAGGGGGAGGGAACGAGGAAGGGGAGGCTGGGGGCATGTCCAAATGATGGAATCACCTGGGCGTGGTGAGTGATGTGAATCGGCTGGGTGAGAGGAGAGAGGGGCTGAGGATGACTGAAGTCTGTGGCCTGGGTGACTAGGTAGATGATGGTATCATTAACTAAATGAGGAAAACCGGAAGGATAAATTCCAGGAGGACCATCCTAGGATCCTGGAAACCACATCTGGAATAAGATGGATAGAGTTGCCTACAACAGGCCCTGGAAAGGCAACAGCTGGGAGCCAAGGGATCCCACCCAAGTCTGAATCTTTGTTGGGAAAGTGGGGCAAGCAGAGCAGGTTCTTCATCTATGAACTGCTTCATATGGCCATTAATTCAGTCCTGGTTTCAACAGAATGATGCATTTGAAACACTTCTTAGAATCCAGTTACTGCCCCCATTTCAGCTCCTGTGGAATATTACAGTATGCTATAAAAATCATGCAGCTTGGATACAGATGTTCTAGACCATCCAACTCAAATTCCTCCTGGGGCACAAGCACGCACTGGGTACAATGGTTGTACTCATTTCACACTCACGAGGCCGGCTAGGAAGGCCAGTAGCAGTTTAAATCCACAATGCTTGCATTTGATCCCGATTAAAAATCAAGTTTTGAATAAAATACCAAATATATGTTTTGCTGCCAGGGGAGCTCTGAACCCTCCAAGGGTTTGGTTTGATTTCAGAGATTAAATATAAACACAAGAACACCCAAAATGGTGAACTTGTGTATTGCAACAAGAATTTCTCTCAAAGTCAAGAAGAAAATAATCTCATTCCACCCCACAATGATTTGTCCGTTGTCATTCAAAATTCTTAACACAGAATTTGAAGCCCAGCCTTCAGAGCCCGCGCACCAAGCAGGGAGCAGTTATGGTGGACACCAAAAATGAACTTGGGTTTGAACCCCAGTTCTCCCCCTAAGAGCTGTGTAGCCTTCAGCATGGAATTCTACCTTTGTAAGCCTCAGTATTCTCATCTGTAAAGAGAGAACAGTAAAATGGTTACCCTGGAGCTGATATAAGAATCAAGAGATAATGCCATGTAATAAGGTCATTAGGGTAGAGCCCTTGTGAAGGGGGTTAGTGCCTTCTAAGAAGAGATAGCAGAGATATCTCTCTGCCGTGCGAGTGCACATCAGGAAGGTGGCTGTCTACAAGCCAAGAAATTCCAACAAAACCCAAGCACGTTGGCAACCCGGTCTTGGACATCCAGCCTCCAGAGCTTCGAGAAATAAATGTCTGTCATGTAAGGTACCCAACCTATTTTTGTAATAGCAGCCTGAGCCAACGGACAAAAGTCCTGTTACGTTTTGAATCATCTCTTGTCCATGGTTATATACAGTAAAGCATATGTAGATGACAGACAGAGAAATAGGTAGACAAATAGATATAGAAAAATGGGAAAATGCTTGGGGAAATGAAGACAGTAAATGTGGATCGACGAACAGACAGAAGATGGGAAGACACTTTACTACTGTGTTTTCATTTTATGCTGGGTTGTTTTGCTTGCTCACTTGACCACGCTGATGGGCGCGGAGTAAAGAGCACTTGAGAGAGAACCACAAAGACTGGTCATGGTCTGGTCAGTGCCTCTGCCACTTAGAAGCGGGCTCATATGGGAAGTTTCCTCTTCTAAAGAGCCAACATGGTGGCACCTGGGTGGCTCAGTCTGTTGAGCATCCAACTCTTGGTTTCAACTCAGGTCGTGATCTCAGGTCAGAAGATTGAGTCCCACATCCGGCTCTGTGCTCAGCGTGGAGTCTGCTTCAGATTCTCTCTCCCTCTCCCTCCAGCTGACACTCTCTTTCTCTCTCAAATAAATAAATAAAATCTTTAAAATAAATCAATAAAGCGCCGACACAGTGCTACCTCCCCCAGGGCTGCTAGGAGAGTCTACTGAGAGGTGTACTTGGAGGCGACCAGCACGTACTATGTACTCAGTGAAGCTGAATTTGAATCTCAGTTGCGTCTTTATGAAGATCGAGATCCAAGTCCCTGGCTCAGTGCTCCACCCCTGGACCACCATTTGCTGGAGTTCCCACTTATGGGACCGGGGTCCAAGTTCAGCTTCAGCTCTGTGTGGCTCCAGAGGTCTTGCTGCACTTGCACCGCTGGACAAACATTTGGACAGTAGGTTCCCACAAGCGCAGAGGGGAAAAGGGCGGGGGTTGGGGGGAGTCTTCAGACAAAAATGCTTCCAGATTACCAGGTGGAGAGTCCACAGCGATGGTCCAGGCAGTTCCCAGTTTACAAATGGGGCATGTTGACGTTCATTTGTGAACTTATTTTGGAGTAGAGAATAACATTTTCACCCTGAAACGGTCCTATCACAGTGAGTTCACTTTTCCGGGGAAGGGACGGCAGAGGAACGCACAGCACCCCTTACAGCTGGAGTCTTGGGGGCACCGAGTCCCGTGTAGAAAGCCTACTTTTATGGGAAAAGTCACTCAAACTCCCACCGAAGTTTCCAGGAACACAAGGGACCCGTCCGGGATACAATGGAAGGCCGATTGCTCTGGGGATCGGGCAATTCCGGCTTTAGTTCTGTTTCTCACTTGCAGGGGGGAGGTCGGAGAGGCTTGGGCGAGACACTTCCTTCTCTGGGTCTCAATTTTTCCAGCAGTCACAAGACGCAGTTGTACTAGGCGACTCTTACGCTCTTTTTTATCTCTAAAATTCTGTTAAGTCCAAATGTGCCTGCCCTCCTACATCATGATTCCAATGACAAATTCCCCTTTCTTTTCTCGGTCAGTACAACTTGAAGTAGAAGAAGATGGCTTGTTCTGGTTGTGGGGGAGGGTGCGGATGGGGTGAAGTGGATGACACTACAGGTAGTGCTGAAATTAGACCAAGTCAGGCCCCAACCTGCCCCCCACCCCGCCCAGCAATGGTAAGAGCGTCTGTAGTCAAGGGGATTGGATCTAAGCCCTGGATACAATATTTAATAATGCTTGGTGTTGAGTAGATCACTTTGTGTCTTCGAAATTCCTTTCCCCCTCAATTACAAAATGAGGGAAAGAATACTGCCTCCACCTTCAAAGTAGCAAGGGCATGTCAAGTGCTTCCGAAGTCCCGGCTCTCTGACCCACTCTCTGAGCTCATGGGATTACACTGGGCCCACT